ACTGAGCATATAACATGAAATAACATGGACAACATGGATTATTTTCTGATATATTGTCAATTAATACATTATCTCACTTCCATATAACTCTAGGGAAAACCGATATTTGGTTATTCTTAGAGTTATGGTGACTGGACTCAATGTGACAAATTATTATGATATAGATCTTTAATCCCAGAGACCAGCCATAGCTCTGGGTGCATTTTGGCTCATATATAATCTATCATGTATCATAATAAAGCACAGCATATCTCATTTACATTCCACCCATATTGTACATTATGTGTATCAAGTTATATTTAAACAAATACTGTATGTCCAGTGTTTCTGATGACCCGCTGTCACTTTGGCTCTCCTTCTGTATTTGATGAGAACAGCAGCGATGGTAACCAGCACTACCACCACCCTGACCACTGCATCAATGATGATATAGGTCTGATCATCAAAAGGATCTTGGTGTGCAGTACCAGTTAGCAGAATAAATTAAATTCATGACCAAATAGGTAATCCACTTAATATGAGAGATATGATACATTTTCTTGGTCAAATTTAGATTTTTCTATCCTAATTTTACCTTTCTGACTGATTCGTCTCTTATGCCACCTGTGAAGACAGGTGCGTAGTCAGAGCTTTAATCTCTATATTATTCTACTGATCAACAAACTGGCAGGTATAAAATATCCTGTCAGAATTATTTTTACATTTTGAATATGGTTGTTATAAAATATTTAAAGAGCAGGAAGTGTCCAGACTCATCCTGGCAGCTCGGGCTGAGCTCTTCAACTTTTCCTTCCTGAACTTCAGTGAAAGTCTGAGATTGATCTCTGTTGTAAAACCATAAAAAAAGTTCTCATAAACTTTTTTAAACAGTTAACATGCTTTATTTAATTTTTTTTCTTTTTTTTTTTTTTTTACATTTGCAACCACAGGGAGGGAGTGTGTGTCCTCTGCCATCTAGTGGTTGTGTTTATATGAGAGTAATTCTCATTTCTGTCTCAGTTCACTAGTGAATCGTGGGCTCTCTGTTATACAGCTCCACTGTAAATATTATGAGTAAAAAAATCACCACACAGTCGATCAGAATAAACAAAAACTGACTCAGATCAAATACAATCTGTTATTATTATATATGATATCTTATATACAGTAATATATATATTATATTTTTAAATAAAGGTAATCAAAGTGACTTCTAAAGCAGGAAAATACTGACTTGTTCCATAATTTTTCTCATGTCATTATCTAATCTTAATGGAAATTTCAAATCTTATGAATTTTTAGTATTAGTATTATCACAATTTAAATAAGTAAACATAGCTTTACCATTAAAGTGAAGCACAAACATAAGGATCAATTCCAGTAGAGACAATTTGAGTCGATTCGCTGTCAGCAGCGGACATTGTGTGAGGCTTTTCTCCTCTACTGCAGATCTGTAGGTGACTTCCTCTTTGTGGTTCACTTACAGCTTAAAAATAACTTGAGTAACAGCGACACACGCCAGCCACAATTAAAAGAAACTTGTGTTTCACAAACTGTAGTCACTTTATTGATCATAGAAATTCTACAAAAATTTGATTTCCTTGACTCAATTAAAACTTAAAGATACATTTAAAATGACTTGAGTGAATAGAGATACAGATCATGCTCTATTACCCCACCCCACCCTTCTCTGGTAAGGAAATGTTGAAATGTCCATTCTGTCATTTCAGTGCTGTAACCAAAAGAGGAAGTAACGTGTTTGGTGAGAAAACCAAAAGCAGAATGGAACGTGTTACGATCAGTGAGATCAGACCCAGACGCAGACAAATACAGGAGGATTTCTGGGGGAAGATGATGATGAGAGACGATGACAGATGGCTGGTTGGAAACAGTGCTGGAGGCAAGCAAGCAGAGCGGCATCAGTGGCAGGCAGAAAGGGAGACCAGTAAGCGGTCATCCTGGAGGCGTTAAGAGAGACGGTCATTCAGAGAGTGAGAGTGAGAGTCGCAGAACACACACAAACAGAGTGATTGGGAGACAGGGGAGGCCTCTGTGGAGCCCTAAGCTAATTTCTGCTAGGGGTCCGCCTACCTGACCATGTAATCTATTTGCCACGCAGCCACACCTGATACCCCAGTGCTCCCACTAATATCCTCCCTCCTTTAAAACAGTTTGTTCCACCTGTAGGTCTAAGAATCAGTTGATCTATACAGAATCATATTATGCTATCACTGTTGTTTTATCTATTGACCACTGTAACTCTTCTATTATTATACTATTATCTTCTGTCTATGTTTCTTCAATGGTTTGCTAGGTGCTTGTTTAATGTTTGTTGTGTTATAGAGTATTGTGTCTGGACCCCTTGTTTTTTAAGATAATTAATTTCAGACACATAGGCAGCAGGCAACATGCAATAACTCCTCACGACCATTACATATGTATCTAATGGTGTTGACTGATGAATCATGATATCATCACTATCATACTGCATAGTGTATAATAACTGAATATATATCATATGATAATATAATACAGTAAATACCAAACAGTGTACTATTGTGGCATGGCTTTTATTTTTGAAGGAATATATGGAATGAAATGTTGAACATTTTATGACATACAGACATGAACGTTGGGTTAAATAAATCAGTAACAACAGTAAACAATAAGTTGGGCTCACAGTCCTACCATACGATGCTGAATCACAAGGACCACTGGATCCTACAATAAGTTCACAAAAAGACTGAAATTCAAAATTGCTATTATACTAAAAGATATTATTTGACTCTTCAGGGAGAATATTTTTAGTTTCAAAACATTGGCTTTACTGAAATATCTGGAAAAAAAACATTCTGCCAGTTCTGGTTAATGTCTTTTTTAAATAATAAAAGTGTGCAATTTAATAGAACAAACTAGAAACAACTACTCAGCATTTGACACTGAGGCACACATTCAACTGTATATTTGTACATTCTTGTAACAGGTTTCATGAATATGACATTATGGGAAGTCTCATTTCCTCTGATTTATTTTGGTCTGCTGACGTAGCTGTAGAGGCCGCTGGGATCATTGTCTGCTTCTGTCTTACATGAAGTCTTGATTGTAGAATAAGTCACCTCCTCCTTCTGTATGACACAACATTGGAAACAGTTTAAAATATAATTTTAGTCTTTAGCATTTAGATTTAAAATGAAAATAATTATGTGATGACATATTTTGTAAGTAATCAGCATGTTAATAAAATAGATTCCATAATTGCACTGAAAATCTACAGAAGTGTGTTGCTTCCACGTCAGAAAAAGAAAAACGGATAACTAACAGTTTTAGATATTTTCATGTTATTATGATATACAAACTTATCACATTATAACAAGAGACTTTTTTGTTATAATAATAAACTTTATCTTATTATCATTTGAAACATTTCATATTATAATGTGATAACTTATTGTTATAACGAGAAATGTTTAACAATATAAGTTATCACATTAAAACATGAAATCTTTCACATCATAATAAGATAAATAGCATATTGTTATAACAAGAATATATATAACGTTTCACAATGAATTTGTATGTTGTAATAACCTCAAAACATCTTGTTATAACAGAACAATTTTCACATTGTAACGTATGGTGGCCGGCAAGGGCAAACGCGCCGCAAACAGCAAAACGCTGCAAACATGGGAATGATGCAAAACCAAAAACACACAAACACATAAAAGGACTGGTCCATCCCTCAGGTCGGGTCCCCCTAGTGGCCTGGCGCACTTCAGTTTTGTCGAGTGAATTTGCAGCGTTTATCTCTTGGAGTTGTTTTGGGGTTTTGTGTGTTTTTGGTATTTGCAGCATTTTTCTTTGGCAGTTGTTTTGTGGGTTTGTAAGTTTTTGCTTCTGCTCCGTTTCTGTGATTGCAACATTTTTCTGTTGCATTTGTTTGTATGTGTTTGTGTGTTTTTGGTTTTACATCATTCCCGTGTTTGCAACGTCAAAATATCTTGTTATAATTTGAAAATGTGTTTAACCGTAAACTTTTCACATTGTAACGTGATACTGATTCATTTTTCTTTCTCTGGCATGACAGTAGTTCACTGCCGACAAAGCAGATTGGATTAAACCATTATTGAAGTAGAAAAGCACAGCTGAATAAATACAGGCGTATCAAGTCACTCACCTTTTTCTTAGGAGAGGTCTGTTGATTACCATGGCTAACAGTGACATAGGTCAGATTGCTCTCTGGCTCTTCCTGAGTACAAATAACACAGTGGTTTATGAAACACAAAAAGAAAGTGCACACTGTATTTATTAGTGTGGTGGTATTATATATTAGTACATTCTAAAAGAAAAACAAATATATATATATACAAATAACTTTTGGAAACAGTTGGTATTTCTCTTGTGATTGTTACATTGTACTCACTGGGTGTTGGGCTGGTATTTGAAGATCTTGAACAAAAAGTAACATTTGAAAGATTATTTTTAAATTACCATTCTTTACATTATACACATTTTCTTTTATACTGTGGCCATAAAATACACTTAGTAGTATATTACACAACAAATAGAACATAGAAACTGTACTTACAGTAAAGTAAGGTTGCAAAGTTAATTCTTAATTAATTCTGACTTAGTTAATAACATGTTTAAATCATGTTGTGCATTATGTGTATCACATTATAATTGAACAAATGTATTTTCTCTGTTTTACTGACCTGCTGTCACTTTGGCTCTCTTCCTGTATTTGATGAGAACAGCAGCCATGACAACCAGCACTACCACCACCCCGACCACTGCACCAATAATGATGTGGGTCTGATTTTTAAACTGATCTGTAGTCAGAGGATACCAGTTAGAAATTACATTTCTGACAAAATAGGTAATCAACTTAATAGAAAATATGTGATCAGATAGAGTTTTTGTGTTTTTTCATCAGAAAGGTTTCTATTTTTAATGTAGCTGATACATAACACCAATATATGAAACTTTTAGGAATGTATCTGGTGAGCTGCATATTATCTTACCTGAATGAGGTTTTACTAGCTGATCGTCTCCTATCCCTCCTATGAAGACAGGTGTGTAGTCAGCCTCTATCTTTACATTGTTCTCATCAACAAACAGGCAGGTGAATGTCCTGTTGTGGCCACTCTGACGCTTCACTTTCAGAACAGAGACACAGTTCTTCTGTCCGATGAACTTGTACCCGACACCTTCATCAAGCAGCACAGTTCCTGTCTCATTCACCCAGCGGACGCTGTTCTGTTCACAACGATCGAGTCCATAGTATCTCGACAGAGAGCACTCTAATGTGACTTCACCGTCCCTCTTTGGATCAGCGTCTGGACGAGATGGAGAGACTGAGAGAAAACAAGTGATAACTGTTAACTCAGTGTAAAAAATGTGTGAGTGACTTTACTTAAAGGTCCTGACAAGTTTCTATTCATCTTCTGTCATCTTTGTTTTACTGAGTTAAAATATGAAGGTGGACTGAACCAAATGGAATCAATCCATCTTTTAGTGGCACTTCAACGAACCAAATGAGTTACTAAAATAAAAACAGGAAACCTATGATGCATATTTATCACTGTAAACTGGGGGAGGGGTATTTTTTTACATGAATTAAATTAGCAGAAGCACTGCAATCAACACTGGCCAATCAGATTGGCTCCTCTCTTTCAGTGAGCTCCATCCACTCAATCTTGGTTTTGGGAAATGACTTGAAAGTAGAGGCAGAGTGCACAGGAAAAGAGTATATAACTGGAATGAGCTTGGCACAGTGCAACCCAAAGAAAAAAGAATTTGCCAAAAGTAGAATTCCTTCCCAATAATTTCAATAAATTTATATGGAAATGAGACTCACTTGTCAGAACACTTAGGTATAAATCTGTATCGTGATTATGGCTCCTCCCCTGCTGACAGGTGTATTGACCAGCATCCTCAGCAGTGATGTTGTTAATGACCAAAGAGCAGGAAGTGTCCAGACTCATCCTGGCAGCTCGGGCTGATCTCCTCTCAACTTTTCCTTCCTGAACCTCAGTTAAAGTCTCAGATGGATCTCTGTTGTAAAACCATGTAACGATGGAGCATGTTGTGTCAGAGGGTGATGCACTGGCACAGGGCAGAATGGCATCATGTCCAGGTCTGTTGTAGAGATAGATAGGTTCTCCACTGATGCTTGCTGGGAAGAAAAGAATACATGTTCTGTAAGAAATGACACATTACACATAAAATCATCTGCATGGAGACAGATGACTCTATTAATAGTTTTATTATTACAATTTAAATATGAAAAATAGTGAATCGTGGGCTCTTCTCGATAAAGTTTAGTGAGAGCAAACTAAAACTGACTCAGATCAAATACAGTCTGCAGATCAGATGTTATCGTCTTTGTTTGAACACAGACATGTATTTGGAAAAATATCCGAACGTATGTAAATAAAACAATTTACTGATTTTATTCTCACTTTTAAATATATCTATTCAATGCTTTACTAATTTGCCACAATAGTATTTCTATGAGTTAGAATATCTTCATTTGCGGGCTTTTCCTGCAGTATATATTTCTACCACCCATTAAAGTCTCTCTGCCCCCCTTTTATCACACCATGAATATTTCTGTAATCTCCACCCCTGTCAGAGAGCAAACAGACTATGAGATCATTACTTTCCTGTCCTTGACGTCCGTATGCTGAAATATATATTCATTTCAGGATGTATCTATAAGACTCATATTGCTATCCTGTCCTTGTCTCACACAACAGTTGGCTCATTTTTATATGCCAGAAAGTTTATCAAAGGTCCTCAAAGTGACTTCTAAAGCAGGAAAATACTGACTTGATCCTCGTAATTTTTCTCATGTCGCTATCTAATATTAATATTATGATGTAAAACCTCTAGTATGTCTGGTAGTAGTATTATTGTTACCATTGAAATAAGAAATCAGAGCTTTACCTTTCAAGTTAAGCACAAAAATAAGGATTAATCCCAGTAGAGACATTTTGTGTCCATTCGCTGTGTGAGGCTTTTCTTCTTTAATGCAGATCTGTAGGTGATGGCAGTGTTTCCTCTTTGTGGACGACTTACTGCTTGAAAATAAGTTGAGAAACAGCATCACCCACCATCCAGCATCATAAGTACCACAGAATTTGGCTTACATCACTTCCATGTTCTTTTTAAGCAGACTGCACACGACAGCCACAAAGGAAAGAAACTTGTGTTTCACAAACTTGATACTTCTTGAACAAAATGATTAGAATATAACTTATACAATGTTTATTTCTTTAAGATACATTAAAAGTGACTTCACTGAACAGAGATACAGATCATTCTCTACAGATGCTCCAGGAAGTGATGAGACTTCCCCAATATATACACACAATACATATTAAGACACAGTAATATATGTATTTTTTCTCTGTGTAGGTTGTAAAATGTTACCAGATGAAAACCTCCAAATGTCAACATGCTGGAAACTCAAAAGGTAATCTTTTATCAGCTGGATGATGGTACATTTTGGTCTCATGCTAAGGAATTTGTTTTTTTTTAGCCCCAGACTCAAGTGTGATCAACATACAGAGTAATGGAAATGATGTCACTGTTCATTCTGTCACTTCAGTGGTCAAAAGAGGAAGTGACGTGTTTGACGATTCACTGTTACAGAGCATATATTGTCACTTCAGATATCTTGTGTTGTAACATAACTCAAATGCTTAGAACTGGAGTACTTTGTTTACCTTTTTTTACAAACGTGTGAGATGAGATTACCCGCAGGGTTTTTATATAAGTTGAAACACTATAAAGTCTGGGAAGTGTTTATGAACATAAAGCCTATAACGTCTTCTGCAGCCAATCTAGTTATAGTCAGATTTCAGATGGTTACAGACAGTTTTTATTACACATAAATTAAATGCACTCAAGGATCTACAAAGATAAATTATATACAGTATATGTTGTTTCTGTCATGGGAATAAAATATGTCCTCTGGATACTTTGATGATAGTTTGTTGCTAGAAAACCCACAAGATGGTGCCACTGTTCTTTAATGCCTCCATGTCTCACTGACAGTGGCAGACTGTAGTTATAATAAGCTGTACCTCAGGTTATCAGAACACCACTAACAACATAAGGTCTTTGCTGGATAGAAGGAATGTCAGTGAGTTACTTTGCTAATGCGCTGGCTAATGTATTCATAACTTAATGTGGACACAAACTCAATACTGTCAAATAAAACATAGTTAGACACACTCAGGTTGAATATGATGGTTAATACTGTCAGGCTGACATCAGACTGTCAACACATTTATTTGCTCAAGTTGCCAATTTATTGCTTTTTTGCAAAAAGAAAAGCTGAAATAACTCTGACATATTATCACGTATACAACAGATGTTATACAACAGCTGTATTTACAACATCCAGCAAAGCAGCAGCAAGTTGTGTTCTTATCCACCTGTTTAATGTAAGCCCAACATTCACTCTTGTTTTAGGTCTGTGTTGATCTCCACCAACTCCTTAAAAACATTTCTGGCTCTTTAGCTGCTAAATGTTCCTTTATGTTCAACAGCTCGTCCCTAACTGTGTCTGTTGGTTGTTTGGTGCTGAGCAGGTAGTTTACAGTAGAGCTTCCTGCTACTGCTGGAAACAGGGCTGGTGCATACTTTTAAAAACAGGGAGGATTTCAAAACTTGTGTTTCACAAACTGTAGTCAGTTTATAGATTATAGAAATTATACAAAGATTTGTTTTCCTTGACTTAAATAAAACTTAAAGATACATTTAAAATGAAGGAAATGTTGAAATGTCCATTCTGTCATTTCAGTGCTGCAACCAAAAGGGGAAGTAACGTGTTTGGTGAGAAAACCAAAAGCAGAATGGAACGTGTTACGATCAGTGAGATCAGACCCAGACGCAGACTCATACGGGAGGATTTCTGGGGGAAGATGATGATGACAGACGATGACAGATGGCTGGTTGGAAACAGTGCTGGAGGCAAGCAAGCAGAGCGGCATCAGTGGCAGGCAGAAAGGGAGACCAGTAAGCGGTCATCCTGGAGGCGTTAAGAGAGACGGTCATTCAGAGAGTGAGAGTGAGAGTCGCAGAACACACACAAACAGAGTGATTGGGAGACAGGGGAGGCCTCTGTGGAGCCCTAAGCTAATTTCTGCAAGGGGTCCGCCTACCTGACCATGTAATCTATTTGCCACGCAGCCACACCTGATACCCCAGTGCTTCCACTAATATCCTCCCTCCTTTAAAACAGTTTGTTCCACCTGTAGGTCTAAGAATCAGTTGATCTATACTGAATCATATTATGCTATCACTGTTGTTTTATCTATTGACCACTGTAACTCTTCTATTATTATACTATTATCTTCTGTCTATGTTTGTTCAATGGTTTGCTAGTTGCTTGTTTAATGTTTGTTGTGTTATAGAGTATTGTGTCTGGACCCCTTGTTTTTTAAGATAATTAATTACAGACACATAGGCAGCAGGCAACATGCAATAACTCCTCACGACCATTACATATGTATCTAATGGTGTTGACTGATGAATCATGATATCATCACTATCATACTGCATAGTGTATAATAACTGAATATATATCATATGATAATATAATACAGTAAATACCAAACAGTGTACTGTAGTTGTGGCATGGCTTTTTTTTTTGAATGAATATATGGAATGAAATGTTGCACATTTTATGACATACAGACATGAACGTTGGGTTAAATAAATCAGTAACAACAGTAAACAATAAGTTGGGCTCACAGTCCTACCATACGATGCTGAATCACAAGGACCACTGGATCCTACAATAAGTTCACAAAAAGACTGAAATTCAAAATTGCTATTATACTAAAAGATATTATATGACTCTTCAGGGAGAATATTTTTAGTTTCAAAACATTGGCTTTACTGAAATATCTGGAAAAAAAACATTCTGCCAGTTCTGGTTAATGTCTTTTTTAAATAATAAAAGTGTGCAATTTAATAAAACAAACTAGAAACAACTACTCAGCATTTGACACTGAGGCACACATTCAACTGTATATTTGTAAATTCTTGTAACAGGTTTCATGAATATGACATTATGGGAAGTCTCATTTCCTCTGATTTATTTTGGTCAGCTGACGTAGCTGTAGAGGCCGCTGGGATCATTGTCTGCTTCTGTCTTACACGAAGTCTTGATTGTAGAATAAGTCACCTCCTCCTTCTGTATGACACAACATTGGAAACAGTTTAAAATATAATTTTAGTCTTTAGCATTTAGATTTAAAATGAAAATAATTATGTGATGACATATTTTGTAAGTAATCAGCATGTTAATAAAATAGATTCCATAATTGCACTGAAAATC